ACTTGTGCGCGGGAGGCGTGGCCCACTGTCACTGTCGATTACCCAAGGCTTAGACTAAAAGTTATAGAAACTTGTATATTTGTCACCGGAAGAGAGCAATGTGTGTTAAATTTAATTAGCGTTCCGTTGATGTAATACGACGTACTGAGAACTTGTTTGGGGTACAACAAAATCTTAAATAGCTTATCACATGCCATGCACTGTTCGAAGGCAGCTATGTAATAACAAAGTATTTATAGGTCGTAAATATTTTAAAAGAGTATTGTTTATTGAGAGTAAAACTGATTAGAGTCAGGTATACATATTGTTAATAAGGTGTTTTTAAAAATAATTCAATTGAAATAATTACGAATGAAAATGGGCATGATTAAGCTTTCTTGTGGTGTAAATAATTAAATGTTCACAATAGCGTATAATGCCGTATATAAGCACGTAATTGTTAACGAAAAAATAAAAAAAGAATAAAATGTAGTTGCGAGAGAGAAAGAGAACAAGAGAGACCGAGAGAATTAAAGAGAGAGAGAGAGGGAAAGTGAGAAAGGAAGACAGTGATGTAAATTTCATAAAATATTTATTATAATCAATAAAAGAGTTAAGCCACTTATGTCGGCCAAAGCTAATACGATAAGAAGTTGATCCATTAAAGTTCAAATTTTTTCCAGCACTTGTCAATTAATATTCAATCACAGCAAATGCAAGTCACATGTTTAACAAGAATTCAATAGAATTTTTGCAATCAAATGCGAAAAAATACCATCTACATAAAATCCATGTATATAATTTTCAATAATTAAAGGCTTTAATTAAGAGCTTATACAGGTGTATACGGAGTGCAGATCATATTGCAATCAACGGCCAGGTGAGTCCCATCCAAGAAAGTCAAATCATCGTGACCGTTGCCATAATTGCGACCAGCTCAAGGACACGGCACGTAACATGCCCCAAAGTCAGGCATTAAAGGCAGTATATAGCCATGGGAATACATATATATTAACGACTGTTGTCTGCCCATTTATAGGTTGGGTAGGTGTGCAGGGCCATTGTGTGTAAATATTGGCTGGAAACAGCTGAAAAAAGAGAAATAAGCATAAGGAATTTCACGCCCATTTTCGGGGCAAATAATTGTCGGCCACAAATATGGGTTAAATATCACTTATATCAAATTTATTTATGGGCTCATGAGGCTTAAGTGCCTCAATTTGTACGATAGCGGGACAGGCGATCGATACGATGTCGGGCCGTATGTCCAAAAGTGAGTGCAAAACTTAATATTAATATATATCAAGCTGCAGTCGCGATATGAACGTCGAAAGTGACGTCACGTTTCAAGAGGGCTATCTCGAGAGAAAGAAAAACAAAAACCAAAGAGCAGAAACTGAAAACCGGCTTTGTGCGTTGACAGTTGAATGTTGATGTTGTTGTTGCAGTTGTTCGCCTTGCGTGATACATAGTTTTGCGGGTTCTTTGTGCCGGGATTCACTGGCTGAGCCGTTGTGTACAACAGGTTCATATTGGTCCCAATCTAGAGCGGCTCATTAGGCGTCTCACGTGCTGAGTAAACCCCCACCAAAATAAAGTCGAGCCTCTTAAGCCAAATTCGATTGCTCATGCAGACGCAGATGGCGATTTAAATTTCATGCTTTAATTTGTGTTTAAGACTTTGGGCCTGGTTATATGTGCTTACGCGGCGTATGCGCAATCTTAGACTGGGGTGTGTGGGGTAAACCCTGATTGGGTTTACTCATGCTATATGTTTTTATCTTAATGCCTTCGCGTCGCTGTTTCTTGCCAAGTCATGCAAATGAGCGCATTCTCAGCGACTTGTTTACACGCTCCAAGTGTTAGGCCAGCCATCGAGCGGCGGCGCTGCGGTTTCTTCAGAAATTAATACAAAAAAAATGCAAAAATAACGCTCCACCAGACAGAGATAAACAAAAACCCCGACACTTGTTAGCTTCAAATACATTTTTTTTTATGCAACTTTTGCGGTTACTTTTTGATCTGGCGTTTTGGCAGGTTGCATGCAACGTCGAAATCTCGCGGCTGTGCCACGCGACCGGAAGCTTAAAGTGTAGAAATCAGGCCAGTGCGTTATTTGATATAACCTCAACCCGCTGGTTTATATAAAAATCTATTCTCAGGCCATTTAACATTTATACAATGCAATATTTGATCAAGTGCGAATTGCCTTTGTTCCGTTGCATTATCTGTCAATAAAAAACTGATAGAGTCGCATCGGCTTAGACGCGCCGATAAGCATTAGGAAACAAGTGAACATGTTGCAGCGAGTAAAAGATATAGACAATGGGATACCCTATTTTCAGCGCGGTTAACAGAAAAAAAGCTAGGGTGGTTTTGTTTTGGAAGGCATGTAAAATATGTTTGGGCTTATCTTGTCAGAGTCTTTATCAAAAGTTAAATTTTTTAACTCTCCTTTAAAATATTGAGAAATATGAGTGCTTAGATTGCCTTATACTATATTCTAAAGGTTAAAGATCATATTGTAAGTAACATTTATGGGGTGTTGGGTTTCTATTTGAGAATGTGTTATTTGCTGAATTATTCAACCTTTACATACCTTTATTTAAAAAAAGTCTTATTTTGCATAAATTTCAAGTTATTTCTGACATATATTTTTGAAAATAGCAAAAAGGGAATATTGCAATATACCCATCTGCTGTTTTTGGTCAACAGAGTATGAAAAAAAAAAACAATTTAGATTTCAAGCAAAGCCATGTACAGATAGAGCAACATGTGTTTATTAATGCATATAAATATATATATGAGTACTTACGTCCGTCTTTGCCTTGATTTACTTTTCGCGTCAATATTTACCGCCCATAAACAGCTGAGCTGCCTGCAAAGTGTTAAACGCGAGCGTCAATTTCACACCCTTAAAATGCCGCTAAGCGATAGCAAACTGAACTAAGTACTAGAAAATATTTAAATCTAAAACATATTACGTTGATCTTAAGCAAATTGTCCAAGTGGCCTTTCCTCGCGATCTGCTGACACAGCATTTGGAGACGCGCTTCAGCTCGTGTGTATAATCGATTGGGGCGTGGCTTTAAAGCCAAGCACACGCTTGGAGATAGGCCTCACTATATGCATATATGTACTTTTTTTTTTGTTTGGGGGAGTCTATTGCTTAGTGTAGGGTATATGGTATGGGCTTAAGAAAACAGCTTATAGTTGTGTAGCATTTTATTAAATTTTTTGGTGGATTGTTTTTTTCTTAATAAAAACGTTGTATACACACATATATATATATATATATATATAAAAAAAAGTTGGAAGGTATTCGACAAGATCAATTGTAGTATAAGACAAAGTTCCGATAGCGAAACCCCTAAATGTATTTTTAGCAAACCCTCTTGCAAATATTGTCTGCTAGCAAAAGTAAAGAGCATAGCATTTGTGCCATAGCGTTCCATTGCAAACTTGCAACTTCTGGCAACATCACGACTCTCTTTAGTCATCATATTTATAGATAGACACTGCCTCGTGCTTAAGTAGGGCATGTAAACTGCGCTTTAGCCCGACACAAAAACTCAACGATTTTTGTTTACATTTCACAGTCGCTGGTCGCGTGTTCAATGCTCCCATGATGCTCGGCTCTGATCACTTTTGCCCAGACAGCCGAATACATGTATATTTGGATATATAATCGCTTAGTATGAAACTGGTTGAACGATAGAACGCAGCTGGGATGAGCTCATGTCCGGAGGAGTAGGGGCTGTGGCTGGGGCTGGTACTTGGGTTCAAAGTTGTGCCGTTTGCATGGTCATGTCGAAAGCAGCTGATTGTCATGAGTTGCTTTGTTGAGGAACTGATGCGTAGTACCGAAGACGGGTAGTAATTCAGCCAATAGCTGTAAAGTCACTTAAGTGGGTTTTACTTAACATGTGATATTCGAGTGCTGCTCTAGTGATTTAGCTAGAGACATGTCTACCAGAGTTAAGCTACAAACCGATATTTGATTTTCTAATCAAAAGTAAACTGATTGTTAATAATACTCATTAATCTAAATAAAAATGAAAAATTTAAAAGTAACTACATAATTTAACTTAATGAGTCTTTTTATTTTAAATGTTAAGAATAAATAATATTTGGATATGGCTTGAATATAAAGACTCTTATGTTTTTCTTCATTTTCGAGTAAGCACTGTAGTTTCATATACTGCTGAAATACTCTTAGCCGCAGTTGGGCCTTATAGCTTATCAATAGCTGGTCATTGTTTGTAATTTGCCGATAAGAACTGTTTACCCAGTGTAACATAGGGCCGAGGCGTGCTTGTGTTCTTATAAGGTGCATGCAAATACTGCAAATTGTACTCCCCAACTGACTCACAGGCACGCGCGTCTATATATATGTATATTTATATATATATTTAAACTTGACTATATTTAAAGATTTGCTGTGTCATGGTCCGACACCAGCTGATATTTATTTTTAATTTCACAATCAAAACACAAACCGTAAATTTTTAATTTTCGTATTTTATTTATTATTTTGAATATAGAGCAAGGAAGAATCTTATCTCATAAATTCACACACCATCTCTGATTCTCTCCCTCTCTCTCTCTCCCTGTCTCTCTTGCAGTTGCTGCGCTGAGAATTTCATCAGCTGTTTCGGCCAAACAGCAACAACTGTGGGACAACAGAAGAAAAACTTTTCACTTGCGCCTAATAATATTGCAATTTTTATGGTAAAGAAATTAGAGCGTAGCCCATTGTATTGGATTTGTACAGAACCCAAATGAAAATGAGGTTTGGAAAATATGCCAGCGGCAACAGCAACAAAAACAGTAGCAGCAGCCAGCAGCAGCAACAGCAGCAGCAACAGATTGTGATGTAATGAGAGCGCAGCAAAAGTGAAGCCGCTCGCCAATTGAAATTGCAAAAATATTATACAATTTGTGAGCTTGCAACGAACTAGGACAACGGCAGCAGCAGCAGCAGCAGCAGCAGCAGCAACGGCCTCAGACGGACTTTAAAACTGATAAATACCGGCTGGCAACAGCAAGCAGTAATGTGGTCTGCAGCAGCAACAGCAACAACAACAACAACAACAACAACCACAGTAACAGCAACAATAGCAACAACAGCATAAATTCAAAGTCGCTTCGGTATTAATTGAGCGGGAGCGTGGGAACTACAAATCACAGCAGCAATAGCCGCCAACAACAATCACAAGCAACAACAAGAAGAACGACAACAAATTGCCGCTCTGTACGCTCACAGCTCTCACAGCTCTCCGAGCACAACAGCAACTGTTGCTGCCGCTCAGCTGAGAGCATTTGCTCACATATATTTTGAGGCGTTGCGGCCGACGCACACGACAGTTGTGCTTGAAACGCTTCGTAGTGAAGATCGTGCTCGAATAACGCGCGGAACAGACAACAAGAAGAATATAACAAAATATAAAACAAACAAAAATTGTTTGCAACCACAAAAGTGAACACATGAAATCTATAGAAATTTGATTTACATGTGGAAAAATCGAAAAAGAAATTTTTTAGAAATTTTTGTTCAATATCGGCGACGAGCTCCGCGCGTAAATTAGCAAGCGTTTGCAAGAAACAAGCTACAAAAAGAAGAAGAGAAAAAAAACACATTGGAAAATTAACAAAAAGAAGAAGAAAAAGAAGCTGTGTGCAACGTGTAAACCAAGTGAAATTTTTGTGAGTGTCCAAGAGCCAAAACAAATAGTAGCATATAAAAAGCAAAAAGTGGCGCTCAAACTGTAAAGTGATGTGCGTGCCACAAGCACAAAAGCAACAGCAACAACAGCCACAACAACAAGAACAACAAAAACAACATAGACAATTGCTACCAATAGAGGAACATTAAGCGTTAGTTGCATAAAGAAATGGCCATTGATTTTCTCATCTTGGCCGTGCTGCTCATCTCGTTCATCATCAATCTGCTGGCGCTGTGCGCATTCTGGATAACGCCAGGACTGCGCACGACAGCAAATCGTTTTACCATCAATCTGCTGATCATCAATTTGATTGGCTGCTGCATTTTGGCCCCAACACTTTTCGTGAGCGGTTTCGAGAGCCTCTCCGGACAGGAGGAACAGTTGAGCGGCGTCAATGGGGCTGGGGATAGCATTGAATTCTACTCGAAGCCGGGCAACCATCAGCTAACCATACGGCACCATGGCCAGCTTGTGGAGAAGGATGGCATTGTGCTGCGCAAGAATATTACCAGCAGCAATAGCAACAGCAACACCAACGACAGCTCGGGGGATACCATTGAGATGATATACAAGTGCAATGCCACCTATTGTCGCGAACTGACCATCGATGAGCGCGGCGATGGCGGCATTGTCATCACCGAGATGGAAACCCGGGAGGATAATCTGAGTGTGCCCGTGCACAGCAACATCTCGTCGCCGGCGGTGCAGCTGCGTTGCTGGTCCATTGACATGACCGCCGCACTGGGCGCTCTGGCAGTGCTGCTTGTGGTTGGGGATACCTGGTGTGCGGTGACCGATCCGTTGCGCTATCACAGTCGCATTTCGGGCGTGAAAGCATGGATATTCATCACGCTCACCTGGGGGGTGGGCATACTCTTTGGCGCCCTGTCCGCATTTCGTGTGCTCGACTTTGAGGCGGATACGCTGCTCAGCAGGCAGAGGCGTCTGGCGGCCATCTACTTTAACATCAGCAGCACCAGCAGCATATTCGGCGTGATCTATGCCTGTGTGTACTTCATAGTCATCATCTTGCTGCCCTTTGGCTTTGTCTGCGGCATGTATTGGCGCATCTTCAGCGAGGCGCGCGGTAATGGGTTGCGCATGCGACAGAACGGTTCCTCGCCGCTGCTCCAGAGCGCACTCAATTTGACGAATCATGCACAAGCGGTGCCTGCCACGCCCTATGCGAACAGCCTGTGCGTGCATAGACATTCCATATCCTCGGCAAGCTCACATGGCGGCGGCGGCGTCCTCTCCGGTGGTCTACAAATGCAAATCGATCAGCGTGGGCCGCGCAGCTCACCGAGCTGTCTTCGTCGCGATTCGGCCGCCAAGGTTCTGCTGCCGACCATCTCCGACGATGGCTCCGATGTGGATGTGGAGAGCAGCCATGGCGGTCAGCAGCTCATGAGCGTGCCGGAGCAAACGGTGGCGGATCGCAATCAGAACATCTTGCTAACGCTGCAAACGGCCAGCGGAGAGATCAAGCGCAACTATTCGGCCAGGCAGCTGCCGCTGCTGGGCACCTCGTCGCAGGATCTGCGCGAGCTGCATCGCCTGCAGGGCATACGCCAGGTGCACAGCTCCCCAAATCTTCACAAGTATACGGAGCTGCGACAGGATTCGCTAACGCTAAGTGAGGAGTGCAACTCGCCGCATTTGCTGCAGGCACACCGACAGCAGCAGCAGCACTCGCGTCAATTGCAGCAACCGCAGCAACAATTGCAGCAGCTGCCGCCACAGCAACAGCTGCACACGCACTTCAGCACTGGACCCCAGCAGGTTGCAGCAGGACATGCTCTGCAAATACCCGCCATACACGCCTCGCCCAAGGCGCTCAGCTACATGAGCTCGCTGCGCCATCGCCTCAGCAATGCCAGCTCGCTGTTCAAGTACCGCGAGGAGTCGCGTGCCGCTCGCATCAGCATTCTGGTGGTGGTCATGTTCGTGGTCTCGTATCTGCCCTTTGGTTTGCTGGTGCTGCTGCAGTCGCGTCTGTCCGCCGCCAACTTTACTGGCTCTACGCAGCTGGCCATCTTCATGATTCTGCTGGCCAATCTCAGCTCGCCCGTCATCTTCGCCTACCGCAACAAGCGCGTACGTCGCGGCGTCACGCGGCTGTTCGGTTTGGATGCGGCCAGCGCTCTGCAGCGTCAACACAGCAGCAGCCTAAAGAACCATGGTCACAGCGCCGCAGCTTCAAGTGCGCCGCAGCTGCAGCGCAATAGCAGCAGATTGTCGCAGTACAGCAGCAACAGTTGCCGCTATCTGACGCCGCAGAGCTCACTGGTCAGCCAGTGCCAGACAACGACGCCGGTGCACACAACGTTGACGCTGCGCCCGAATAGCAGCTGCTGCACCATCATCAACTACGGTGGTCAACACAAGAGTTCCGCAGACTCGGATGAGGTGCCATCGCTGGAGGCAACGCCGCCGCCTCAGCGCCAAACGCGACCCAAGCTGCAGCGTGGCATAACCATTGTGGAGCACATACATATAGCCGGCTCGCCGCCAAAGTTTCAGTCGAGGCGTGGCCTGTTGGATATGTTCTTTCGCGGCTCCAAGAAGATGCAGTCCAGCTGCTCCCAGGCAATGCCAACGGAGGTCTAGAAAAACTAACTCTAAGTAACTACTAAATGTTGATTTGCTTGCTGAAGAATTCGCAGAACAGTATTCGTAACTCCGTAAGTTTAGTAAAAGTAAGCCAAAAAAAAAATTGAAATATAACAAAAGAAAAAACTTAAGATAATGCTGTGCTAGAAGCTTCTCATGCCAAAAATCTACAAGAAAAAAATAAGAAAAAACAAAAAATTATAGATATTTCACACATATGTATGTTATAGGCCTGTGCTTGTCAAACTGTAAAATGCATAGGCAAACAGCAATAAGTACCTTGTAAAACATTTGTCCAGCTAGGCAAAAAAAAGAAAAACAAAAAAATAGCAACAACTGTGTACAAGTCGCAAACAAGAATACAAAATTTAAAATTTAAAATATTGTTAAAAAACGGAAAATGAAACAGCTTAAATGTTATATCAAACCGGGAACCAAGCAGCCAATTTCGAGTACCTAACAAAACCAGCTAAACATATGAATATATATTAAAAAGAGAAAAACAGCTACATTTATTAAGTCAATTGCTTGAGACTCTCACACAACACACGCACTCAAAAAAGCGACACTTATTTATTTATTATTATTTAATTTGGTAAATATTTATTAATCAAATACGACAGCTTTAACAACAAAAACAACAACACAAAGTAAAACGAAAAACATTCGGGCTAAACCCCAACGCTAAGCATTCAATTCATAAGTTTTACATATACATAGATATATATATATATATATATGTATTTATATATATTTAACTAAATGTGCAAAGCATATATATTATATTGTATTATAATCTACTATAGATATGTATACCACAACTGGCACCTAGTGCTGTATATTTTATTTCTCGATATTGCAAGCGGCGGTTTTCATATTGAAAACTTGTTTCCGTTCTGTGCAATATCTTCTTCTTCTTTTAATTTTTGCTGCCTGTCTTGCCAGTGTTGGTCAATGAGCGCAGCTTAATTTATTTTATTTTTATTTTCTTGTATTTCATATTTATTTTTTGCTCATTGATCATGTAAGTCAATTTGCTTTCTAGTACTTCAGTCATTGCGTGCAGCTAAATACCTCATTAGTTTTAATTTAAATAAATTATAAAATATATATTTATGACATTGTGTTTCATTGTGTTTGCCGCCTCAGATCGAAAGCTTTATATTATTTAAGTTTAATTCAGTACCATAACTAATTCTTTGCCGCCTTTTGACTTGCTTAGAACTAGCAAAGCCTTTTGTAACTTAAAGAAAAATACGAAACTCATACACACACACACACCCACACAAACATATACATGAAGAAAACAAAACCTCGAATTTATATATTTCTAAAAATTTACATGAAAAAATAAAAGTATATTTATATGTGTATTATATAAAAATATATCAATGTATTGTGCATTTTCTGTGTGTGTAGACAAAAAATAACAGTTCCCAGAAATTTCAAAAACAATTAACAATTAATGTGATGCCGAGCAAAGTGAGCAGGAAAGCAAGAAAAGAAAAGGAAATGTAATTTTCAAATGCATTCAAAAACGAACTTAAACATGTATTAATAGTTTATAAATAAAAATAGTGCTATATATCTATATACATTTTTTTTTTCCAATTACAAACGCTATTTACAGTTAATGTAAACCAAAAAAAAAAAACAAAAAACAAACAAAAAAATAATAAAAATATAAACACAAATTCGATGTGACAAATTAGCTTATAAAGTTAAAGATCAACATAACCGAAACGAAGTGAAATAAAATGAAATGAAACCAAACTAAAGAAAAAGAGCAAGAAAATACACTAAAATATAACTACAGTACAATTACAAATTGGTAGCTAAAGCAACTCATCAATTTAATCGAGTATTCTCTAGTTACGCTTCTAATATTAAAACAAGTATTTCAAAGAAGAAAAAATAATTATATTCTATTCCAAGAGAACAACTATTTAAATAAAAGAATATGTGTCTTAAAAACAATTAACATTTACGACTTTTTATTGCTTGGACTTTAATACGCCTTTTTTTGCAGCCAAACTTGTTTGATCTGCGGCTACCCACGCAGTCTTCTTGCACATATAGATGATATATGTGATAAAATCGAGGTTCTACTGAAAAGTTGCTCTTGATATATGAAATTATAAAAAAACTAAAGTATTTATAAATGTTTCGTAAATATTTGTTTAAGCTAGAATGGAATTTAAAGAGGTGATATTCTTATTGAAAGCTTAGAGTTATAAAGAGAAATGTCACGCGTCAAACGAACTCAGTTATAATCATAATCTCAAACGAAGAGGTCATTTAGGAAATATCTTAGGGTAAGTATTGCCTGTTGGTAAGTCGGCTAGACGGAATCGAAGCAGATTTTAAAATATATAGAAGACGACAGCTGTGAGCAAATCGATAAAGTTGATAAGTAGAAAAAATTATGAAGATAAAACCAATATACAAAACCAAATGAAATAAAATTAAATAATCGAAGAAATAAAAATTGCAAAAATCAATACAACTTTCAGAATTTAAAAAAGGAACATAGAAGTGTAAGAAATATGCGAAGAATTTTAAAGTTGACTGTGTGAATAGGAAAAACAATAGATATGGTGGCTATAATAAAAGCAATGAGTACTTCAGTCAAACATAATTTACAAACTAATGGACCCAACCTCTTGTGGAAAGAACTCTCCTCAAATGGGCGAAGTGCTCACAGAACAAGAGCGCTAGAACACGAACAAACACTTGACGAATGCTAACTTTAGGGAGCACCGGTTCAACATTTCAATTGCTGCGGCGAATACATTTTTATATACTCGTGAGCATGTTAATTGATTCATTTGACGGTAGATCATAAAAATAAAATTAAAAACTAAATAAAATGAAGAAAAAAAAGAACGCTGGCTTAATACAAAAAAAATATATATAGATAATAATAAAATAAAATCTATTATTTAATAAGAACTTTGATTGTCAGAAATGGTGGTCAGCAGCTGCTGTAATTGGGGCGTTGAGTGGTGCCAACTGGTGACAAGTTCTACACCACGCTATAAACAAACCAACGGGTTTGCCTTTTTGAAGTCCAGCTCGTGATCGTGCAACGGCAGTTCATATTTGGAGGTACACGGGGCGTATAGGCGTTTTGAAATGTTTGGCAATGCGGTTTGGCGATTAATTTCAAGTTTATTGGTAGGGTAACTTGCACAGATAATGATATGGGGCGTGACTAATCGTCAAGTATTTAGAGTTAACTACCTGCTACCTGTGACTCAGCTGCCTCTTGGTGCCAAAGTCTGCTATCTTTCGCCTAGCTGCATAGTGGTGACAGGTCAGCACAAACGGCAAACACACACGCAAACACAAAATCAACACACACAAGCGGCGACCCTATGACCCCCTACACTCAGCTTCCTTCTCTCGGCTGCCAGCTCGAACGGATGCGTAGCTGCCACTCAGCAAAGCTTCCAGAATAACAAAAGCCCAAACCTAAACAGAAACCGATGCCGAAACAAAAATGCTATGTTTATTTATTTTATGATTCATTCGATCCAACAATGCGTGAATAAAAATGCCGCTCTCTCGCTATTTGATACATATATGGTATATAGTGTATATGGGCAGCAACAATGGCAATTTTTTCGGTCTGTCATTTTGCCAATTGTTGAACGAAAATTGCTGCAAATCAGAATTTCAAGTTGGATATTTGAAATACATATATGTGGGCACGAGCTTGTGGAAAAACAGCAATACAGATTTAATCTGCATTTTGATGAGCTCTTTTATTAACAGAAGAGACGACAACAAAAACAGAAAGTGAGCCAGAAAAATAGTTTGCGTCTGAATAAATAGTTAAAAAAGAAAATAGTTTGTTATTTATTAAAATCGTAAAAATACTCGAATATTCTGTTAATAACATAAAAAGTTTACCTTTACGGAAAATATATTTCAAATTGACTTTGTTTACTCTTAAAGAGGGTTCTATAAGGTACATCTTTAGAAATATATTTTATAGACAGGCGACTCGATATATACATGTCCATATCCTTCCGTTTGTTTGTTGGTTTCTATGACAACTAGGCCCTCACATTTAAAGTTCATATTTTTCTTGCTAACTGTACATATTAAATAGCTACCATGGTAACGATATATATGAGGAAAATACCTTCAACATCGGACATATGGCTTTATACTTAGGTAAAGTCAAGCACATGTATAATAGTTTTTTCTTTGACCTATCTCAATCGAAAATTTCAGTATTGGAATTCATTTTTCTAAGTTATAGATAGCTTGATATCGTTAAAGACAATAGTCGAACCGTGAATTGTGGCTCCTAAGTCCATCCAGATAAATAACAATTTAATTAATATACATTGAAATTGCATTTGCTTTTAGTTATTCAGTTATATATAATAATATATAGGTATATATAATTATGCAACTAGCAAAGAACTTGTTAAGTGAAAGTGTGCTTATTTATATTTATTAATATCTATAAAGATAAATGCGGTAGATTTATTTGAAAAGATTCTGCTTATGAATATATATTTGATGCGAAACATAACACCTATTTAATTAGGAGCTTCGCGTAATGAGTCATCTTAAGGATTAGAACTGGTTATAAGCAATCATTTCGTACAAATTTAAAATGCATTATTTAATAAGTTTATATCCCACATAAAACCGTTAAGCAACAAACTTGCTCTTAATTAAGGCAAATGATTTTTGTGCTTGTTTGAAGAACCCACCGCGAATCGCCTTAAAAGTCAACTTGCTTCCGTAATTTCAAATAAGCAATGCCAATAAGAGCCGAGCCTAATTTGAATAGCTGCATAATGAAATAAAATTGAAGAAAAAAAAAATTAATTATCGAATTTTTGAACCCCAAAGAGCCAACAAAAGGCATACATACATATGCGTATATATACATATTTATATATAGCAAAAGTCATTAGAACAAAATTTGTTTGTTGGCACAGCGACACAGTTTTAATTTTGCTTTATTTTATTTTTAATTATTTTCTTTTTTTTTTTTGTTTTTGTTTTTGTTTTTTTTTTTTTTTATTTTGGTTCGAGCTGACGAAATAAATAAATAAAATGAATTTAAATGCTTAAAAC